GGGAACAAACATTCCACATTATTGTTGATGTTGTGATTGCAAATGATGAAGATAAAGCTGGTAATAGTCGGTTAATTCTCTTGTAAATTTGAGGACAAACAAGCAAATCCAAATTAACAAGGCAAAGGATATTTCCAAAAGATGGCAAAATCAAGTATGTGCATGATAATTATGTGAGCGTTTTGTTGGCCCAGGAATTGTTTAATAACAAAGTACAATACCACAGGAAAAAGAAAAAGATAACTCCCATCCCTCTAAAAACATCAAAACCTACAATGCCTACACCCAAAATCTAACAGGTTAAGCCACTCCCACAATCTAAAAACATTAATACAGACAGGGGTCAAACACAAAACAAAAAAGATTAAAATCCCAAAATCCTTATCTGAACCAATGCCCCAGACCACAAAACCAGAAACTGAAACTTCTATCACCAAAACTAGCCCATATCCCAAGACCAAGAAACAGATATCTCCAAGACTCAAATTACATAATCAATAGCCCAATCCCAAGCCCAAGAGAAAACAAGTCTGCATGTCAAAGAATTGGCTCATCGCAGAAGACAGAGACATCACTTCATCAAAAAAAGACAGTGACATCACTAAAGCTGCCATGGATGCCAGCCTCTGTTCTTCAGAGGTTGTGGATAACATATTCAAAGATGAATTTTGAGAAGGAAGAATCCAGCAGAGCCAGAAAAAAAAAAGATGACAATGAAGAGGAGATTCTGGAATGACGATGGGCCAACCCCTGATTACTGGAAACTCAAGTTGGCCCTTGCACCAAATTTGATAATCTGTTATTTTAGGTGAGGAAGAAAAAACTGGTAATTTTTCAATAGTAGCTAGAGGATAGAGAAAAAATGCTGCCTGTGGAAGAAAACTTTATGCTGGAAAACTAAGAAGCAGTTAAGATTCAGTGCCAGGGTCTTCTGTAAAAGATAGAATTCTGGCGAGAGGAAAGAAGAAGTCACTCTTCCTATATACTGTGCCAACCAGAGATATTCTTTTGTTCCATTTGGGGTGGGTGTTAGGGTCAGGATAGAAGGTGAAACGGAAGAGAGAAGGGGAACACTTCGTTATAACTTCATAAAAGATATAATGTGGAAGTTCTCTTATGCATAGAATAATAAAGTGACTTGTAATAATTATATCAATAGAGGTGCGGACATGGAATAGCAACTTACGTCTTTAAGTCCAGAGATGCCAAATCATCTAGTGAAGATTGTTTCTTCTCTGAACACCCAGCTATGAGATAAAAGAAATGAATGTCAGCAACCAAAATCATCAGAAGATAAGAATGGATGGAGAAATTAATTAGTCACAACCTGGAAACACAGGATATTTAGCAATCAAATATTTTATGCTGATTAACCATTAAGTTGAAGAGTATCTGATTCAGGTCAGAAAAAGACACGCTCGAATTTTTTTACAAAGACAATATAAAGTTCATAATACTCTTCTATCCTAAAATAGTTGTCACTATTTCCTGTCAGGGATGTTCAACATACTGATGCCCTTCCAGAGAAGATTTTCTCATCCCCAAAATTAGCCTTAGACAAAATATGTACAGATTTTCAATTGAAGTGGGTATAATTGAGGGGGGAGGGGCCGTGGAAACTATTTTAGTTCTTACACTGAGTGAAAAAGCAACAGATGCAGGCAGGGGCATACCCACATGGAGGTCAGGGGGTTCACCCGAACCCGCTTGTCGAAAAATTACACTGTATTTATAAGGTCTATTTCTGATTTTATGAGTACATATATTAAAATGAACCCCCTCAAAACAAAAGAGAAGCATGGCTTAGCAGCAAAGGGGTTCAACGTTGACCGAGATAGTTGGGGTTCGATTCCCGCTTGCAACATTTTTCCACTTGTTTTTTTTTCAGCTTTGAAAGGCCGAATGGGCTCTTGTTTTGGGTTCAAATCCAACTTCATTTCATTGTTTTTGGAAGGCTAAATGGGCTCTCGTTTCGGGCTCAAATCCCAACTCAATGAAATGCCTCATTGTTTTTGGTTCAATGTAAAGCTTTATTATTTTGTTATCATTAATTTTCTCTCTATGCTATTTCTTTTTCTCAATTTATCTTTGTTTAAATTTATTAGACATATTTTAGATACTTTTGTCTTTTATTCTTCTTATTTATACTTCTCATTTTATTTCTACATAAGTCTCTTTCCATGTACTAACGATGAATTATTATTAAATTTGAAATTGATTTACAAAAAATATTATATAAAATAAATTGAATTAAAGTTAATCGAATGAAGAAATTTAAAAGTCGTGAATAATCTTTTAATAAAATATAATTAATTGATCCCCCTCCCCCCTTAATTTTATAGTATTTCTTTCTTATTTTTTTCAGTTCGATTTTAAAAAGATGAAAACTAAACTAAACTTATTTGTTCTATTCATCATTTGTTTTTTTCATGAATGACTAACCTAGTAAATTGAATTAAATGAACTAAAAAATCGACGATGTCAATTATTTATCTTATGAATATATATATATTATAATATCTTAGTGGTTGAATTTAAGAAAAATTCAAAAAATAGAGTAGAACACTGCAATATAAAAGAGAGAAAAAAACACGAAATATTTTTTAAAAAAGCTCGATGAAATAGGATAAAAGTAAAAAAAACTAAACGCAACATGACAAGGCAAGTTAAACTTATTGGATTCAGATTACTAGTTTCCTCCTATGTCGCTCAGTTTTTCATCTTGTAATTTTCACATGTTTACTTCTTTATATTTCGAACCCCCTTCACAGAAATCCTGAATCCGCCACTAGATGCAGGAAAAGAAGAGATGGAGGAGCAGTTTCTGGTATGAGAAGTTATTTTGAAAAAGAAATGTAAGAACCTAAAATAGATGTATCTGGAATTTAAAATTTTCAGTGTAATGCTTCTTTTGCTAATGACATTGATGTAATGTTGGAGTTTTTGGAATCCCTGCAGTTTTAAGAGACTCATACCCAGCAAACTGTCTTTTACTAGTGCAGTACCATCTTAGGGTTATATTAATAAAATTATGTCTTATTGAAGAAAAATACGAGTTAAGAAGAAAATACTGCATGCAGTGTAAGTTATGCAAACACATTCAGCCAAGAAGGGAGAGGGAGGGAGAGAGAGAGAAGGGAGGTTTAAATAAGAGAAACATACAAAAGAAGTACCTTAAGGTAGTGAGCTAGGCTATGAGAAGTGATGTTACAAAACAAAGTACAAGATGTTGGAAATTGTGTACAAAGTTTACAGTTTTCCTTAAGTAGTCCCAAACTTTTTAAGTTTCCTACGCTATAGCTTCCTCACAGTATTATCTCATTCAATTATGTCCCTAACATGGAAAAAAATACCACATCACATGAAGTTCTCAAACAGAGCACAAGTTCATGTTCCTGAGACAGACAGTACCAACAAAGATCTGATCCGAGACTCATTGCTTCAAAACCTAGTTGATAACTCATATGTCCATATCTTTCAGATCCAACATAGAATTTCTTCTTGGGCATTAGAGAAAACTCATCTATTATACACTAAAAAGCTACCATATGAATAGCTGTCGAAGAATAATTTCATCATCTGCTACCATGCATATAAGGATTGAGGAATTCACATGAGATTAAATACAAAAACAATAAGTTGACATGTGAATAAATAATTAAAACATGCAAACACACATACATGCGCATGCACTCGGAGAAGAACCTTTCAGATCTCAAGTACTTGACAAAAATTAGACATCTACTGGCTCAAAAGATTTTCACAGCTTTATAACAATCAAAGTTAATTCAAGAATAAGAACAAAACACTTCTTTAAAATTGCTTGAGAAAAGAGAAAAAAACAAAATGAATGAAAAGATAGACACGTAAACAAACACATAAGAGTGAGAAATGTCTACATACCTTCTGATGCTTCTGGTTTATATCTAGCTGTTCGATATTTCTGCATTTCAGAAAAATGGTTCAAAACCATCAATAAAGAAATACAACAGGTCCATCTCCAAAGGGAATCAACTTGAGGACATGAGATAGCACAAACCTGCAAATGGCTTTTAACATGGTAGATGGTCAAACCCTCAACTTTCATCATTTTTAGCACCCCTTTGGGAGTAGCTCCTGCAACTCATGTAAAATCATTGAGTCAGACAACAGTCTACTACTAAAACTCGGTTTATAATGCACAACAAGGAGAGCTTTATAAAAAGTGATGCACAGCAAGGAGAGTAATCACTTTCACTTCCACCAAGCTTGTTGACTGCTTCAACAAAGGCTTCATGAAGTTCTGGAGTCCAACGCATGCGTTGCTTTGTTGCAGCACTACTTGCAGGGGATGATACAGGAGCAATAGCCGAAGTTTCTACAGGCACAGCTGGGATTTGCTGTGATGCTTGGACTTGCTGCATTGGGAAATTCAAAGGTTGTTTTTCCTCCTGAAATTGCATCTTTGAACACACAACAAGATAAGAATGGGTCTCCTTTTGTTCTTTTAACACCAATAAGATGCGTATGAAGAAGAAGTAAATGAATGAGGAATAGAAATTCAGCAGTCAGTGCAGAATAAAACTGACCTTCAGCTCCGAGTTGCCAATACTTGTATCAGCAATGATGTCGTTCCAATTAGAAGGCAAAGCATCTTCATCATTGAGTACAAGGTCGGCCCACTCCTGCCAATCACTTTGTTTATCGCTACAAGCTACCTGACTATTCTGGACAGGGTTATTCATCGAATAATCAAGGAAATTAGGCAATGGATCTGTACACCAGGGTTCATGGTTTTCATTCAAATATTGGCTTGATGCTGTGGACTGAAGAACTCCCGAATGAGGTAATTGGATCGATGTCTCACTATATGTTGACTGAGAAATGAAAGGTGCAGATCCTGGATGCTTTTCCTGGGGTGAAACAGATGAGAACTGAAGATCTGCGGAAAATCCTGATGATGATGAGAACATAAGACCAACAGCCCCACTGTTGGAAGGCAAAGAAGAGACAACAGTTCCAGGATGTTGCTTGAGCTCCTTCTCCATCGAAGCCTGCTGCAAGTCTGGAAACTTAGGGTACTTTTCTCCTAGGGCTGTTGGAAACATAGAGAAGGAAGAAGAAAGTGCCCCTGATGCACCACAATTACTGAGTTGATTTGCAACCACCCTTTGAACAGACACAGCAGGGCGTGCTTCCATTTGAACTTTGTGGATGAGTACAGCACACTACTATATTCTCCTCAATTAGTATCTTCTAATTTCTTAGTAACCCGTTTCCAAGATTGATTCCTGCATCAGCAGCAGGACATCAAAATCAAAACACCAAGAACCTCAAAGACAAAACATAGCATACCTTGCATGTAGGATTATTAAACACACATGGTACTCATGACTGGATACAATTCCAAGGAAAAATATAAAAGAAAAAATAACCATTTTAAAAATTAAGTGCTTAGCAACATGGATTATTATGAACAGAAACAACAAGCATACTACAACAAAAAAGGAGTATACGAGATATTTCTTGCCTTATTATAGGAAAATTTAGATGGTTAAGCATAGTTCTGTCAATGGTGAAATTCAGCAAACACAGAAACTGCATGATAGATACATGCTAAACCCCACAAATGAAAGTTATATGTCATTGTGACAGCTAACTTACAACCAAGCAAAGAAATCAAGCATGACTTGCCAGTAAGACGATGCAAGACCCCGGCACTGCCAAGTAGAACATATTGTACAACTGGAATCTTTTTTGTAACCACAGTAATTCGATGTAAATTATCACTAATATTGCAACCTTGCCAACCAAAGATACACATCATATTCACAATTTTAAGTTGAAGAAATGTTGAATAAAATAAAAATGAAACGCATCATTGTAGTACACATGGAAATACTATGCATTTTTCAGATACATCCACATAAGAAATCCCAACAGAATTAGCCATTTATGTGTGTGTCAGGGTGGCTGCCTACATGGCTACATCACATCCCCTTGTGGTGCGACTCTTTCCAAGACCCCACAAGAACGGGGATGCTTCATGCACCAAGCTTCCATTTTTTTAGCTTTATCTAGAAATCCCAACAGCATCGTTTCTTTGAGAAGTCAAACCAGAAGATTTATGATTTCTTGACTCAGGTTCAAATCCTAGTGAAGGCAAAAACACTGGGTGATTTCTTTCTAAGTACCCAGTACCTGTGTCTGTGGAGGTAGCAGGTGACCCATTGAATTAGTGGAGGTGCAAGAAAGTTGTCTAGACACCAAGGCTATTTGAAAAAACAAGAAAGATTAATGATTTCTTCTGTGAATTCAGAAGGAAAGGTATTAGGTTGACATCAAGGCTTTCATAGTCTTACATGTATAGCAAGGATTCAACTATCCAAGAGCAAAGTTATTAGAGTGGAGATTACATGCAAAAACGGAGCAATCTTTGCACAAAGAGTGAGCATAGCTTGTGTTGGCCAAAAAAAAGCTTGAATAACATCTTTGGTAATGACAAAAGAGAATAGGACCTGAATGACACTACCAAGCTAATTTAGCTCTGAACTGGATAGGGCTAAAAGTTGAGTAGTACTAGCAAACCGGGATAAGAGATTAATAAATTTCAGAATGCAAGAAGAACCCACCTGCTGTTAAACCATGTTTATACAAGGCTAACCTTTTATATTCATCTTTTCCTTTTGCTCAGAATAGAATTGATCATGTCAAGTTAATTTAGCACTGACATCTGCTATAACCTAAAGCTTCCGCTTTTATCTCAGTACCCCAACCAGATAAACTGAATATAAAGTTGCAAGAAGTCCACACACAGAGTCAATGTTTAAATTTTCAATCTCAACCAACTTAATCTAAATAAAACCAGGCAAAAGTAACCAATTAACTGTGTCTCAAGCCCAAATTAATCTGAATGGGCTCTCTGAATCCTCTAATATTCATTTTGCTCGTCTCGAACTTATTCCATCCTAATATTGGTGAATAATTTGTCTTTTTAAGGTAAATTAGGGGTTCTCTAAATTCTAAAAGTAGAGGATCTCTAAAATCTCACACTTAGTCCTAGTCACTAACTAGATTATCAATGCTCCGAGCAAAATCCTGTCCTTGGGCAAGGTTTATATCAACTAAGGAGTCATTTGGTAATGCAGGTATAAGTTATTCCATCTTCTACCCTACATAAGATAATACACCAATTCCCTCATAACTTATAAATGCATTATTTATTCGGGTTTTAAATTGCAAACCATATCAATATACATGAATAACTTACTTCCTAACCAGCTACCAAAAGTTGTATAACATACACAAAATCAACACTTGAATAAGTTAACTCATTACTAGCACTACCAAAGGAACCCCCCTAAGTTGATACCAACTAGTTGGTATGCATGCCTATAAGAAATCTTTGCTTTTTGTCTGTTTACCCTTGTCTAAGACTCTAAGAACAGGTTTAATAAGAGAAAGTACAGGTCTTCTAAGACAACTTACCCCACTCCACCCCACCCCACCCCACCCCACCCTATCCCACACAAGAGATATCCAATTAGAGCTACAATCAAACTCAGCAAAAAGAAAAGATAACATCAAAAATCACTTCTTTTGGGAAAAGATTATCCATTTCCATCCAAAAACATCAAAATTATTGAAAGAAACGAAAAGGGTATACGAAACTATTACCTAAAAACACACCCACAAAAGAAAAAGTTCGAGTTGAACATCAAAACAGCTCCATTAGAACCAGAAAAACCGGCCAATCATAGAGCACATAAACTTCAATATATGAAATTACCTGTATGTATAAACAGATAAATCGTTTTTGCAGATTTTGGGGGATTTCATATCATCGCCGGCGAAATCGAAAGAATTTGAACGATGAACGTTGATTTTTTTGGTTGGCTGAGAATTTTGTATTCTAGTAGTACAGTGCCTACTTGCAGAGATGGAGGTTGACTACACGCGCTTTTCACTTACGGAGAGCGCGTGAGGAGATTTGAGAGAATATAAGGAGAAGTTGGTGACTATCATGTGGTGGGTCCCATTTGACCAAGAAAGCAATGTTATTGGTTTGTAAGGCGAGTGTCTCGTGCGGTGCACGTGTGGTTTTTTAAAATATTTTTTGGATTTTAATAATCTAAATTCTTTTTATTTCGAGGGAAAACAAAAAGATAAAAAGTTTTTTTAAGTACCTACTTTTATACAGTGGTGGAGCCAGAATTTTCACAAAGAGAGTTTAAAATCTAAAGAAATAAACATATTAACTAGACAAAGAGAGTTTGACATCTACTATATATACATAAAAAAATAATTTTAATCATATATAAATAATATAATTTTCTACTGAATGGTGTTCTGTTACCCGGTCTTGGTGGTGTAGTTATACTAGGAGGTGCCGTAGCTTTAAACTCTTTTTTCGAGATGAGAATCATAGACTTTTTTATTGCCCAAGCAAGGGAATCCATTTGCCTTCGAGCCTCACCCTGAGATGAGAGGGAAGGTCGATTTGACTCGAATCCTGGACCTGATCTTGAATCCTACACCGGTTAATGATGCGATATAGGGAAGTGTGCCTGAGTCTTCTATAATAAGTAGTTGTGACTCGGTCTAGCTAGGACAGAGCCATCCTAAAGAGACTTTCTTCTGTTCTAGGTTTCCACAAAGCGGTATCAGGGTATGAGAACGCCTTTCTCCTATATATAATCAAGTCGAAGGATCTATGAAAAGAACGTCCCACTACGAATTCCTATCCCATTAATAAAGTACAGATAAATAATATATTCCACCTTTCGACTCGCAATCACAATAGCCGTACAATCGAATAGTTGAGTTAGACGGGGGATAACGGTCGAACTATCAAAGAGGTCCGCTACCAAAGAATTAGGAGTTATAACATTCATAAAAGAAAGAAGGTTCAGGTGACCCCTGACTACAGATTGGTTCCTTTCCTTCTTTTAGGCCAAAAAAAATACAAAAATAAGTTCAAAACTAAAAATTGAATATCAGCAACTTACGACTTTTAACTTTTAGTTTATGAGTCATTAATAATTGTGAGTTGAAGACTTATATTTCTTCAACAAAAAAAATCAAAGACGTCTTTAACTTATTAGAGTCAAATTCAATGTTTTTCTTTTTGATAAACAGTGATATTTTTATATATCTTAGAGCATTACAACAAAGTAGTAGTTACAATGTTAGTGTCTTTTGTTAGCTATAATATTAGCATTTCTACTAGTTTCATCATTAGTAATAACATTTAGATTCTCAAACATTGCTAGTTTAGTACACGTAGATACTGAAATTCGTTTATTAGTTATTACTATGTCTTTGTCTGCTTGCAAAATAGGTCTAACACCTACTGAAGTTGCTATCAGGATAGAGGTTTCATTAGTTGTACCTAATTTGCTTCCTTCATTTGCCAAAAAGTCAGCTAACTTATTCCCCTGTTGAAAGTTAGGATGTGTAGGATGGCAGAGTTCAATTACCTCAGTGGAGTCAGTTTTCACTTCAATTGACATCATATGCTTTTCGAGAGCAAGTTTCAGTCCAGTTTCAAGAGCCTGCAATTTTGTCATCACGTGACTAAAGGCATAAATCTTTCTGCTAAGAACAATAACTCAATTACCATGTGAGACCGAGGCGGAGCTATAGCTAAGCAAGGGTGATCAGTTGAACACCCTTCACCGGAAAATTAGATTGTTTATATAGATAAAATATTCACTGTTATTTGCATATATTAATAAAGTAGATATGTGGCTCGTGCTATAATATAAATGGTATGTTATGGGACTAATAATCGAATTTTTGAAGCGATTGTTTGCGTGGATAAATGAATAAGTTTTTTTTATCACAAACATGTACTTTCTTTGACGCTATTTAAGGCATAATAAGACTACCCACATACAACATTTTTGAAATATTTTATGTTGTCAATTATCATGATTTATAGTATTTTTACGATATATTCACTTCAAGAATCAGTGGAATTTTTGTATTTTTTCAAAACATATTTTATATTGTCAATTATCATGATTTATAGTATTTTTTACGCAATTTTTAAATATAAAATAAAAATAAAAAATTAAATTTTATGTTATTTTTGTTGTCTTAATTTACGTGACAAAAATGAAATTTGGAGAGTCATCCAAATTTTCATATTTTTTTTAAAAATGTTTTAAGTTATTAATTATTATGATTTATAGTATTTTTACGCAATTTTTAAATATAAAAAAAATAAAAAATAAGACAAATAAATTAAAATGGACCCAATATATGTTATTTTTGTTGTCTCAATTTATGTGACACAAATGAAATTTGGAGAGTCATCCAAATTTTCACATTTTTTTTAAAAATGTTTTAAGTTATTAATTATTATGATTTATAGTATTTTTA